AAGTCAGTATAGTGAAATAAAAATTCTTGATAAGAATATATTCCTAAGTAACAATATTCTTGGCAAAGAATTCATTTATGACTAAAATATTCTTATTTATTTAAAAAAAATCAAAATCCAAACAATCAGCCAAAATAAGAATGAAAAAACGTACATGCTTAGTCTCTGGATCTGCCAACAGGGGATGGAGGTTACCACTGGAATTGTCACCATCTGCAGGAATTAATTGTTTGATTGTTCTTGTTTTAAGCAATAATGAAGCGTCTCAATTCCATTTTACTTATTATCAGTCAAATTTATTCTTGGCAAGATTTTTTCTTAATCTTTCTTGATTTAAAAAAATATTTCTTGAAACAAGAATTAATCACGAATATTTTTTAGACTGGATTTTAAAATTAGCTGTATATGTCAACGTCATCATTGCCGTTACCATCATCATCGTCATCGTTATTGACATCATCATCATCGTCATAATTAGGAATATCCTCACCACCACCATCATCATCATCAGGCCTATCCTCACCATCATCATTATCATCATATTACATATTTTTTCTGGGCCGCATGTAAACAGAGTTATCACAGTAGGACTTTCTAACACATTCTAACAGTGTGCCCCTCCACCCTTTAACAAAAACAAGCAGGATCGGCCTTGAATCACAAGCAAACATAACAGAGCATTTAGTTATTAAACTTTCAACAATTCAAATGATAGTACAACTCATCTAAGGTCGTGATAAAAATATTTGGCAAATATCGGTAAGTCAGTAGGATGAGTTATTGCCAACTCTACGGTATACATATTTGTAGGCCTATTTCATAATTCATAGCATATTGCACCCTGTGAATACATAACACATGTGTTGTTTAATTGCATATTGTTGATATGCAGCCAGACCAAAAGGCACTGTTATTTATTGTATTATAATGTATTTATCCATCAAGAAATAAGCAATTCTGGTCTAGCTATGGCACTGATAGAAAACAGTTTTTCATTTCACAATAGACCTACTTTGTCTCTATTGTCCATGGCAGGGCTGAACATGGTATGAACTCTAGTCCCCACCATCTTTATATTTCGTGTTTGTCAATGTACAGCAGGATGGAGAGGAGTGAGGCCCTGCAGGTTTACCAGCTCCTATTTTCGGGCATCCAGAGCAAAGCAATTATAGGCCTAGGCTTAACATGCTAACTTTAAAACTTGTGGCTGTATTTGAGGCACTAACTTTAAAACCGTTAAGCCTACAGTTTATACAAGCACCACAAAGCTAAGATGGTGTCCAAGATTCTGCGAATTATTTTTAAATTGTTTTGCTGTAAACTATTTTAAAAATTGTTATATTTTATACTTGTTTTATTAGTTGTTGCAAAAATGTATAATAGTGTACTATTATAATTTTTTTAAAACTAATAATAAAAACAAACATAAGTATAAAATATAAAACAAAAAGGAATATTTAAATTTAATATACACTTTTCCTCACTATTAGAAAGGGTTTGTTTTTTATAATACTTCAAATGTTCGTTTTATTTTGTTTTGGCTCACTTAATTTATTGTTATTGTATTGTTTCAGGGATTCGTACGTACGTCCTTCCTGCTCTTGAGTCTCCCGATCAGTGATGCCAAATAAATAAATAGTTTTTAAAACGTACTTTGGCGCTTTCGCTGTTAAGATGAAACAATAAACACAGCTGTACTTGTATATATTTTGTTTTTGCTATCAGTAATGATATCATTATTACATTTAAATATTTTCTATCATAGTGAATATACATCACTCTTAGTGTGTGTGTGAATAGGGATGCATATGAGAGGAGTGTATACGCGAAATTATTTTATTCGGTTGTACATTACTTTTTATTTATTTAATTAATTTTTTTTTACCAAATTCAGATTTTGCTTGTTTCTCCCTTTTTACTTCTGTTGGTGTTTTCATCGTTGATTTTCGATTTTTTTTAAACTTAATTGTTCAATATCAAATAAATTTGTAAAAATTAATACTAATGTTTCAGCTTCATAAGTACCAGATAACTAACATATACCTCAATAGTGTGTGCTTACATGTAATGCATATACCTACATCTTTAATCCTATCAAATATCTAATTGTAAATCAGGTTCTACGTCAGGTAAATATGAATAATACAACAAACGCCAGAGTAAATAAAATTTCTTTCAGACTTTGTTGACATTGTATATGCCTCTTCACGGTATTAAGGAGTCTCAAAATTCAACGCATACAAGGTTTTGTATTGTTAACATGTATTGGACCATGCTGGTGCATCTCTCCACATCTGATGACCAAACGTTTCATGTTGTATAGTAAATCCATATGTAACCGTTTAAAAGATATGATTTTAAATATGACTACATGAGTAATGTCTGGAAGAGTATCGGTGGTTGTCAGAAACAAACAATCGAACGCTGTGCTAGCTTTGTTACCAATGGCAACGTTATTGATATTAAGGTGGTAGCGTTTTTCCATGTGCAATACCAGATCGACTGATTACCTTAATAGTGTGTAACTCCAAACCTGAGAGCGAACAGTCGTAGCCTTGGCATCTTCTGTTTATTGGAGGTTTCTACTCAGGGAGTTCAAGTAAAAATGACGGGTGGTGACTATTTTGTGAGTTTTGTTTTTCTTTTCCGCTAATTAATCCTTTAAGATAAATGTGGTATGGTTTGTAGGCTTTTATTTATAAGTTTACTTTTTAGTATTAAATTAATTGTAGCTCTACCGAGATCCAGCCATTGTTTGCCACAACACTAGC